AGTTGCAAGGTGAGCACAATAATCTCTAATAGTTAGGCTTTAGAAGCATATAAAAGCATATGTATGTATTATGTGAGCTGATATTTGTTACCAAAAAATTACTCTGGTTCCAGATATCATTATATTAGAAAAGGGTAAGCGCTAGAGACTTTTGTTCGGAATAAATGACGTTATTAAAATTATATTAATTGATTGACTTATAGAATGTATACAAAAGACAATAGCAGTTTAGGAGCTGAAAGACAACATTTCATACCCAAAACCTACATTTTTAAACGCTGACTAACATGGTTTTTTTCGTCGATATACTCTTCCGACCGATTTCGCATATACGTATCTGTTATTATCACAACAATGGAAGCCACTAGCTAGTTATCAACATATATACCTTTTTGACCCAGATTACAACTTATTTTTTCTTAAATACATCAAAGCTATTAAAGAACAAAAATAATATCAACACCCACTTAGAAATGACAAATTATAACTTACTTTAATAATCCGTAATAATTAGTACGGTGTATACACGGATTGGAGACATGAGCCACTTAGTAGAGGACCATCGATATGTTTTTAAATATACTATTTGTCCATGTTGTTGGTGTAGCGGCTACAACAGCCCCGCCCAGCTCGGCTAATCTCTCAGTCGTTGTCGCCAAGATGTTTCGAGTCATGGGCTATTGTGGTACGTGCCTTCCGAGGCAGACGAAGCTCCCCTAAATGTGATTTTCTCTTTGCCTATAACGTTAGCATTATGCTTCGGAAACAGGCAGACAGAATTTCTATTTTGGTGTAAATCAGTTGTTGTTGTTGTAGCAGCATACAAGTTCCCTAAAGAGTTTTTGAGGAGTGTTGCTGGAGTGACAGTCTTTGGCCAAATATAAATCTGGGTCGTTCCGGTTACGTAGACCCGACTGTCGTGGGAACGTATAAATCAGTGTTGCTGTTGTTGTAGCGGCTACAACAACGTGTAAATCAGTCATGGCCAGCGCTGGCATTTTAGCAATTTTTGGCTATTTTTTCTTAGTTTCTAATGTTTAATATTTTTGGTTACTTAATATTACCAAAACGTCTATCTTTTTAAGCAGCCTGTTTAGAAAAAATTTTAGTATGCAGCTTTGTGCCCATTAAATTTTTAACCGACTTTCAAAAAAGCAGGAGGTTATCAGATCGTCGGAATATTTGTTTTATTTTATTTATTCATGTATGTTACCGCATAACTTTGGACCACGCTAACGGATTTCTATAATTCTTTTTGCATCGAAAAGGTAGTGTCTCAGAGGTGGTCCCATACTAATCCGATCATTGGATCATGAAAAAATTAACCGTACTCCTGAATTTTTATATGAGAATTGAAGTCAGATTTGGTTTTTGCTTAAAAATTACTTGTAGGTGCACGTTTGAAGTAGCTAGGACTTATCGTTGATTTTTGGCAATTTTTTTTTTTGTTGACGGCGTTACGCATTTTTCGACAAACAAGGATGCTCGAAAAATTTGTATATGAAAAAATTTTGCAGTATAGTCATAATTTTTGCAAACAGTCTGAAATTTGGGTTTTTATGGTGTTTGGTAAGTAATCAGCTATACATTCATATAAAAATATTAAACATTCAATAAACTAAAGAATACGTTAATAGTACAAAAAAAAAATATTTTTAAAGCACGCTTCCTAAATATGAACGAAATCGGACCATAAATTCTGGTTTGCCAAATATCTCGACTGGTGCGCCACCTATCGGCAAAATTTTTAGTGGAGTTATTCATTTTCATGTAGTTTATATATGTTCTAAATATGAACCAAATCGGTCTGTAAATACGGGTTTTAAAATCATTCNCCTAAATATGAACGAAATCGGACCATAAATTCTGGTTTGCCAAATATCTCGACTGGTGCGCCACCTATCGGCAAAATTTTTAGTGGAGTTATTTATTTTCATGTAGTTTATATATTTTCTAAATATGAACCAAATCGGTCTGTAAATACGGGTTTTAAAATCATTCAAGTCCCGCTTGACGTGTTTTCACTTATTTGACTACAAATGCCATTGAAGTGACCATTGCAAAAAGCCTTAAAGATGTATACTGCTACGGTATGCTGATAGGAGAAGCATCTGTTCAAAATATGTATATGTATCTATCAAACATTCCCTTTTATTTAATATCTGTATGAATGAAATATTATGAAGGTGTTTTGAAACTTTAGCAAATACATTTTTTGGCTATCAAATGTCGCATTAAGTTCTTCAAGAATGCAGCTGTTCTTATCATCTCTTTCAATGTAGAAAAAATTAGGTCAATGCAATGACGGTGTCATAACAATACAGTACACAACACATACAAAAAAACACAAATTTACACGTACCCAAGATACAATATTTATCCACGCGTGCCGTTGAATGAATGCATAGTGCATGCGCATGGATTACAATGAGATGAGTTCTTATTCAACATTGCGACAAAAATTGTTTGTGATATAACACATTTGACAAAAATTAAAAATTATATAGTATGTATATTTTCATTTCATTTTAATAATAAGTCCAGGTATTAGATATATCCGTACATAAATACACATTTTTTTATTTATTCATTAAGTATAATATTTGCAACTGATTAAAAAAAAAAATGTGTGCTGGCATAATGCTACGCACAAAGTAATGGGTTTATCTATTCGTTCATTAGCGATGTGAATAAATATACTGGTAGTAGGTATATAGCAAAGTAATTACTCGTCGGCAAGCCGATGGACAACTGGATTTAGTCAACTGCAGTAATAGANAATGTGTGCTGGCATAATGCTACGCACAAAGTAATGGGTTTATCTATTCGTTCATTAGCGATGTGAATAAATATACTGGTAGGTAGTAGGTAAATAGCAAAGTAATTACTCGTCGGCAAGCCGATGGACAACTGGATTTAGTCAACCGCAGTAATAGAAAAAAGTTGTTTACCCCAACGCCGAATGGTAGTGTTTATATTGAGGGAGGCTTTAATTACGCCACCCACTCGCCATTCTCAACCTCCCAATGCNAAAAAAGTTGTTACCCCAACGCCGAATGGTAGTGTTTATATTGAGGGAGGCTTTAATTACGCCACCCACTCGCCATTCTCAACCTCCCAATGCATACACAAACAAACGTAAGGTGATTTTTTCAACCCTCGCAGTAGGTTGTCCAGTTTGTATCTTGAAAGCAAATTTAGCGGAAAATGTACGTATGAAGCGACAGCGGCTTTTGGCCACGTTAAACGCGATATATATTTTTGCTGCAAATGCATCTGCATGTTATTTCGCTGATAAAAAAAAAAATATTATTTATACATACATGAATCATTTCGCTCTTTCTAGGTGAAATAGACAGATGTCTGAAAAAAGTTGCGGAAGGAGTGGAAACGTTTGAGGATATATGGAAAAAAGTGCATAATGCTACCAACAGTAATCAGAAGGTAAGGTATCGAATGCAAAAGTATAAAAACAAGACTTATCCATTCTTTTCAGGAGAAATATGAAGCAGACCTTAAAAAGGAAATTAAGAAGCTACAAAGGCTTCGCGATCAAATTAAATCGTGGATTGCATCCGGAGAGATTAAAGATAAAAGTCAGCTGTTGGAGAACAGGCGTCTTATTGAAACGGTAGGAACTAATATCCTGACTTTTTTTTGAATGAATATACCATCGTCCCATCCCTGCGCTAACTAAGTATCTACATTTTTTTTGTAAAATGGTACCGCTTATAAAAAAAACGGGTAAAGCGTTACATTTTTTGCCAGTAGAACCAAAAGTATTAAGTAAAAAATTAGTTTATTCTATCCTATTGGAAGAAAATAAAAAATGTTTCCTACTTACTCTAGAACGATTCTATTGCCGATACGAGGTTAACACAAACGGAAATATATGTATATATGTATATATATGTATTTTCCATATTAAATGAAATTATGTCTTTCAGCAAATGGAGCGTTTCAAGATCGTAGAACGCGAAACAAAAACAAAAGCATATTCGAAAGAAGGCCTTGGTGCCGCACAAAAAATGGATCCAGCTCAACGCATTAAGGATGAGACACGTAATTGGTTAACATCTTCAATTAGTTCGTTGCAATTACAAATAGATCAATACGAAAGTGAGATTGAATCGTTATTAGCGGCTAAAAAGAAACGCCTCGATCGCGATAAACAGGATCGAATGGATGAGTTTCGTGTTAAATTGGACCGTAATAAATTCCATGTTATGAAACTAGAAACACTGTTGAGATTGCTCGATAATGATGGCGTTGAAGCGGAACAGGTAAGAAAATGATATAGTAACTTATCAATTGAAATCGGAGGCTAAAGTCAACATTTTTAACTCAGGTAAATAAGATCAAGGATGATGTTGAATATTATATTGAGTCCTCACAAGAGCCGAATTTCGAAGAGAATGAATTTCTTTACGATGACATTATTGGCCTGGACGATGTTGAATTATCTGGCACAGGTGAGTTGGGTACGATTGAGATTGAGTGTGAATGGGCAGGAATTACTTTTTATGAGGTATAATTATGTATTTGCATTGTTGTGCAGAAGATGTTTTCGTACATACAAAGATCAACGTTGTATGTGCATATGCAAAGTAGGTTTTCTTATGAATATAATTGTTATACATATTTACACTTTGTAAAGCTTTTAGTGCAGTCGTATACTTATATATGTATGTTTCTGCCTTTATTTTCATATTTTAAACTGAATATCATCCACATCAACGGCTTAACATATATATGTTCTCAATGTGATTAAAAACCACAATATCCACATAAAATAATCCCGTAAAATGTGTTGAATGAATATGATTTGATTTGTTGAACAACAACGTCATCCATCGGCCATCTAACAACTCACAACAACCACACAATACCTTTCGGCAATGCAACCGTTTGCGTCCAATTGTGTGTGCATTGTTATCTCACAACAACAATACCTAACGAATAAATGTATGTCGTGTTATCCTTGAAAAATCATAATATTAATTACAATATACACAAAACATCGAACCGTATGATTTCGATGAACTTGTTTCAATCGCTGTGGATCGTGTTCTACATCAACAACAACAAATGTTGTCTGAATGATGTTGAATAAATATCGGATTGGTGGTGTTATTTGAATTTTATACTAAAGGTGTTTCACTTGGTATTCCATCATCAGCCACTACAGACAGCAACAACAGCAATGAGACGAGCGGTTCGCCGAGCAGCATAACATCGGGTGGCAGTCCTGTGCAATCGCCACCGCCTACAGTGGGCCAACAGCAGCAACAGACACAACAACAGTCTGCGACCGCAGCGCCGGCGGCAGGAACTGCGGCGCTGACAGCTATAAGTAATGCGTCGGCGGCGGTGCAACAACAACAACAGCCAAGTAATATCAGCAACAGCAACAGCATGAACTACGCAGCTGAAGCAGCAGCGGCGACGGCAACAACCGGCAGCACAGACACGACGGCCAGCGATAAGAGGAACAAAAACGACAGCAATTCTAATAGCAAAACAAAAGTGAGTGGTATACATTTCATTCGTTTCACAACGTGTGTAATAATTTTTATTTTCATTGCCACTTTTAGCAACCTGTTAAGCCAACGGCCGTGCGTGCAGCGAACAGCAGCGGAAAACCTGGTGGCTCGACAACAGAAAGTTTGTTACACCATTAATGCTATTTAACACACTTGTTTATTCCTACTTTCTCTTTTTAGCGTCTTCAAACAAAGCTGTAAGTTCGACGCCTAATAAGAATCAACAACAGCAGCAGCAACCGACGGCCGCGGCAGTGGTCGCAGCAGCCATGGCAGGACAAGCAGCGCCAACATCAACTGCAGCCACAGTTAATAGCTTAGGTAGTGGCGCGCCTACTATGGCAGCCACCGTCGCAGCAGCGGCCGCAATGGCCGCAGGTCACAGTCCTGCATTGCAACAGCATGCGCCGGCGCCTAGTTTGAATGCCACAAATATAACGACAGCAGCAGGCGGAGCGACAACGGTAGCCGCCGCAGTTGCGTCTAACAATGGTAGCAGCAACAGTAACAACATTCAAGGCCAATCTGTGATTCAAGCAACGCCAACGATTGCATTTGCGGCTGTGGCGAAAAATAATACATGTAAGTGCAGTGAGATGATAAGTAGTGCCATATTTTAAAAGATAATTTTTCATTTTGGGCGTGAATTTTGCTGATGAATCAGTATTTTACACTGAAAATGCACTTAAAACGCATTGTGTACAAATCTGTTTATTATTTTAACTTTTGGGATAGGTTTATGGTTTATTTACTCTGAAACACATGTATACCTATATATATATACATATCGTTTCAGCACATCTGGAAAATGGACCTGTGCATCCGGCGACATCGTATGCGATGGCGGCTCCAACGGTAGCGTCTATCGTTGGGTCCAATGCACAGCATCAGCAACAACAACAACAACAGTTGTCCAATCTTCAAACGAATTCCTCACATTTGCAAAACGGTTCGTTTTCCACTCGGCACATGGCTTTCGATTTTTTCTTTTCTCTGATATGTACATAAGTTTATCAACGTTTTTCTGATTTGATACATTTCCACAGCGCATAGCAACACTTCCAACAACAACACATCCAATAGTTTAGCGAACGCGGTTCAGCAAGGAAGCGCAGCTGTCGCTGCAGCAGCCGCTTCCGCCGCCGCCGCCGCTGGTGTAGTGGTAAATAACGTCGGCAGCAATAATCTGGCAAATTGCATTTCTCCGAATGGCCTCTCACAAGTAATTGGAACACAGCAACAACAGCAACAGCAAGTTATTGGTGTGGCAAACAATAGCACACGCGCCTCACCGGGCCTGCTTTCACCGAAGCATATGAATGGCTTGCCTGTATCCGCAGCCAACATTAATAACAACAATAATAACGCTGTGGATGCAATTTCATTAAAGACGATGGCTCAGGAAGCCATTAACCGATCGGTAATCGATACAAATTCATTGACGCAAGGACCTGGTCAACACATTGACAACAGGCAGCAACAACAGCAATCACAACAGGTCTTGCAGCATTTCTCAAACGATACAACTGCCAACCAGCAACAACAACAACAGGCGGGGGGCTTGGCTGCAGCAGCAGTTGCCTTTGCTGCAGCAGCCGCAGCAACCAATGGACCGACAACAGCGGGCTCGGGCCCAGTTGGTAGTGCAGTGCCTAGTGGACTGCCGGGCTTGGCGAATACAGCCGTAGGACAGTCGGGATCTAGTAATAGCGCTGTTAATGCGCCAGTGGGCAGCAAAACACACCAACAACAGCAACAACAACAACATCCTACAAATGAAGCTCATATAACGCCATTATTGGGCGTAGCTCCACTTGGCACATTGCCTTTACATAAAGATCATCAATTGCAATTCAAAATGATGGAAGCCGCATACTATCATCTCCCAACCCCAGCTGATTCGGAGAGATTAAATATATACCTGCCGCGAACACCAGTGCCGACACCACTGCACTATCCTCAGGTTAGTGGAAATGTGTGCAATGATTCCGTTTTATTTGTATTTAGAAATTCTATTTTTATGCACAAAAAACAGCAACAACTTCCACTATACGATACCGTTGAATTTTATCAACGTCTCTCAACCGAAACGCTCTTCTTTGTTTTCTATTATATGGAAGGTTCGAAGGCGCAATATTTAGCAGCGAAAGCATTGAAAAAGCAAAGCTGGCGATTTCACACAAAGTACATGATGTGGTTCCAAAGGCATGAGGAACCAAAAATTATTAACGATGATTACGAACAGGTAAGTTTTCATTTAATAGTTCTATTCGATAAACACATTGATCATGATCA